ACCAAACTGATATAAAAATTAAAGACTTTAGCACTTTAAGTACTTCAGTAATGGTTCCGCTTTACTTTAGAAAACATCTGTTTTCATTTAATTAAAGAACAAAAGTGAATAGTATGAATATTTTATATAGAAACCTGTTATTCCACACATAGACACAAAACAACTTTAGTATGATAATCGGCCTTTTAAAAAAATAAATACCTTCAAACTGTTTGACAGAAAATGAAGATTTTAAAAATTGTCACCAGATACTCTTGATAGCTATTTAGCTTTTCTTTGTGAAAATTAATGGATAGGAAATTTGTGCTCTGCTCTTTAAGCTGCTAGAGCAAGATTTCTGAAATGATTATCTTTGAACTTCAATATGAATGAATGCTTTTTACCTCATAGAAAACTTACTTGATTAAAAAAGTTTGCCTCTTAAAAATGGTAATGAAGATGAATCACTATATCAACATTACTCCCAATACAACTTCCACATATTAAACCTATAAAATTGACAGGATTTTTTTTTTTAAAAAAAAATGTCGCAATGCGTTTGCTTGAGGTTATGCAGACGCTTTTACAAATCTTCCAAGTGGCTGTAAAGATGAATGCCTCAAGGGTCTAGCCAGGGCCCTGCTTTTCCAACCAGCTAAAGCCCTTATCTTAAATCCAAGCAAAGTACCATTAATCTTTTTGAAAGACCTTTTATGGCTTTTAATATATCCCAAATTAGAACATTTTACACCCTTGGTTCCTGAAATGTGGTGATAAAAAGCCTTTAGAGCTTAATTTTCTTTACTGCATGCTCTGACCAATTTGCAGTTCTTTGTGATAATGTTTAGACACCTTAATTAAAATGCAGCAAAATATTGGATGTTCTATATGGAAAATGCTGATACTTTGACTACATAAGAAAATGTTGTATGTATTTTTATTCATGTTTTATTGCTTCTTATAGCATTGCAGCTTGCTACGTTATCTGATGACCTTTTTAAAAAAAGTATAAAACCTATTGACCAAGATTTGGTGGGCCCTGTTAAAATGGGAAGTGAAACTACATGCATGAGTGTATATAGAAGCATAAAATGTTTGTTTCACTAAGGCATAGTCATAGTGATTTATTTTATGCACTTTCTCTGCAATTAATTTGCATTTGTCTTTTAAAAGTTACTTTTGATGTTCTGTAATATCTTTACTGCAATAGGAATATCACTTTTATTTCATTATTAAATTCTCAGGACATACTTTTCCTTCTCTAACAGTCTGTACCATTTTAAGCCCTTTTTAATCTATGCTTTGATAATTGAGTTATTTTATTCTTAAGAAACCAAAACAAAAGATAGCAACGCAAAGAATTTATATAAGCCCTATTAGTGATATTGAAAGACAGAAGAGCTGCTGCACTTGTAAATCAATGTAAATGCTTGGGTCTACATCATAATTAGATATCTAATATCTATTAGATATTATTATCTTTTCAGTCTAATAGCGGAAATATGGGAATATGGAAATGAAATTTCAAAGTATAACATGTGCCGGGGTAATGAGTCCTGTATATTTGGGTTAATAGTTGATACTATTACTATATGTATATGAACTTTTAGTTCATATAGTATATAGTATACTATATACTAAATGAACTTTTATCTAAGAATAAGTCTCATAAAACTCAGTGAACATAATTTTTGTTAGAGTACAGGTAGTCTTTGGCTTAATGAATATTTGAATTTATGATGGACCAATTTGAGGGATCCTTATCCCTCCAGATTCAAAGCTCCAATGGCCATCCTCCTTTCCCACAGTCACATGACTGCATTCAAGGTGCTTGGCAGCATCACAAAATCACATAACCACATTTTACATTGGTATTGCCAAAAACCAGAATTTACTTCTGGTTTTCAGCAAAACTGACCCCATAGGAAACCATTGTTTTGCTTAAGAAACATAGCATGCACTTAATGTCCGCTTCAAAAATCATAAAATCAGTTCAGTCATGGGTGAGGGTGACCCAATTAATTATGATCATGATTACAACCATGAGGAGCATGCTCCATTAAGTTCAAGGATATCTATATAACATCTATTTTATTGTTCATGAAGAAGAATTCCTTAGTGTTATTGTAACAAATATTTTATCTAACAAAAATAAAAGTGCACAGTAAGCTGCAAAATATATTAATTATTGAACAACAAAGAAATTTAATTCTTTTCATCTGGGAGCCTTATTTGATAAACCATTTTTAAAAGATTTTACTATTTGTAATTAGAAAATAGATTGAATGCAATTCATTAATGTATTAGTGATGCAGTTATATTCATCAAACCTCCACATACAGTATTTTTAAAAAAACCATTATTCTGCATAATATTTGAGGAAAGCCATTTATAGAGCACTTCACTCCATTTGTTCACTCTATTTGTATTGTTTTGAAGACTTCAGGAAAAAGCTTATGTGACATCCTTAGACTTTATGATACTTATGCTAGATTTGTTGTGGAAACAATAAACATGAGTTCCTGGTCTAAAATGAGTTTAATGATCCAGGTTAATGATACTGTATATTAAACATTTCCCTCTGAACCAAAATTGCTCAGCTGATGTAGCCCTCTAGTGTTGGCAAAAGACTCTCAATCCTTTCCATTAAAGTTCATCATTCATTCCTTTCATAATAAGTTTTTTCTTTGAGGTATAGGTACTCCTCAACTTACAACAGTTCATTTAGTGTCCATTCAAAATTACAGTGTCACTGAAAAAAGTGATTTTTGACCATTTTTCATACTTACGACCATTGCAGCATCCACATGGTCACCTGATCAAAATTCAAACACTTGAAAACTGACTCATATTTATAATGCTTGCAGTGTTGTGGGGTCATGTAAATCACATTTTCAACCTTTGCAAAGTCAATGGGGAAGCCATATTCACTTAACAACCATGTTACCAGCTATAGTGATTCACTTAACAACTGTAGCAAGAAAGGTCATAAAATGGGCAAAATTCAATTAACAAATTTTGGGGTCAATTGTCATAAGTAAAGGACTACCTGTATTCATAAAACTGCAGGTTTATAGTACAGGAGCTGTTGTATCTACAATATTAATTATGAAAATTTGAGATAATGAGATTTATCAGTTAGTGAAGTTCCAGGATGAAATCACTGTTTTTATGCAGTGTTAAGAAATATATAGGAAGACAGTATGGCGTTTTTAAAGGGAGACTGGCAACATAAGCAAAATGATTATATGGTCACGTCCTCCCAAACATTGGCATGGTTGCTTCTGGGGTTCTTTGTATAGAGAACTAATGAAATAAAACTGCACCAGGATTGGATGTTCAGTGAAAGATACATTGGATAGGTGAGAAAATCCCTCAGGGCGGTTGCACAAAATCTTTGGGAGAATGGGATTACTTTGATTTGATAACACATTTTTTTCATGCACAGCCTGAAATAGACAGACAGACTTGTCTTCTAATTGTAAAATAAATGATAGGTGGGGTTATTCTTGAGGAATATAAGATTGATTTTCTGCATTTGGATATGTATATGCATATAAGTGAATATTTATATAAAACACATACCGTATTTTTTTGGACTATAAGATGCTCCGGACTATAAGATGCACCTAGCTTTTGGGGAAGAAAACAAGAAAAAAAAAACCTGCTTCTGCCTCCCAGCAATTTGCCTCCTTGCTGCAAACAGCAAACTGCCTGGTCAGTTTCAGCACAGCCTGATTTAGCACGAGCAGCAGCGGTTGGATCTGCCTCCCAGAAAACCGCCTATCAGCTGTTCCAGGCTGTGGAGATTGCCACCACTCATTGCCGCTGTTGCCGCCCATTGCCGCTGCTGCCTATTGCGGCCTCCCTATGCCCCATTTTCAGGCCCCACATGTCTGCTTTTGGGCTCTGTGCATCCCGTTTTTGGCCCGCTCCAGGCAGCGGGGATTGCCGTCGCCTATCCCAGCCGCCTGGAACGGGCTAAAAATGGAGTGTGTGGAGACTGAAAAAGGGGTGCGTGGAGGCTACAATAGGCAGCAGCAGCAACGGGCAGTGAGGGTGGCGATGGGTGGAGGCGATCCTAAATCAGGCTGTGCTGAAGCTGACCAGGCTGTTTGCTGCAAGGTGTCAAATTGCTGGGAGGTAGAGGCCGAAAGGTGGGGCTGACAGGTGGGCGGGGCTTTGGCAACATTCGCTTTATAAGACGCATAGACATTTCCACCCACTTTGGGGGGGAGAGGAGTGTGTTTTATACACTGAAAAATTCGGTATGTATATTTATGCTAGCATGCACTAAATGTTTCCCCTTTTTCTCCTAATTCATCATATATGTTCCATCATGTATGTAGCTCTTCTCTAATGGCTTTGTATATCTTTCCTCAAGTTCGCCATTGAACAGCTTGTTTCTATGAAAAATATGAACCAAGAATAACATATTTACTGTTTACATTAATACTGATTAAAAACATAATTTGATGATAACTTTTGGTTTTTTCTTGCTTGTCTATATTCCCTTCATACATTTTTCATATTCCAATCTTTTGATGTCTTCCAGAACTCCTCTTTTAGTGTATCCAACTTAAGAAAGTCAGAAAATTCCAGTCATAGAGCTATTCATGCCTGGTTCCCAAGCATTATATGTATAAGGAAAACTCAAGGGCCATTTTGATAGTAACAGATAAATTTGTATTATAAAGTCCCCGTTGCCTCATTTTCAGCTGGAAGAAAACTAAAAGCTTAATATGTATAATTTCAGTCAGCTAATATTAGCCTACCATGAGTATTGCTAGCTTCAATTGTAAGCTTTTATAGACTTTTAGATAAATAATACACATTTACTTCACAAAATCAGAACTGACCACACCATCCACTGAATATAAGTAGACAGTTTCCATGGTAGATAAAGGACAAATTTGATCCATGCAAACATTGCCTAAGTATGTTCTTAAAAAACTGTTTTTTCTTTATCTAATTTAGTTTTGCTAACTTCTGTGGACTTACTTATATTCTTTTTTTCTTAGCTTGGTGTGAAAATTGCAAAAGCTGTTGCTTGCCGAAATTTTGTGAAAGCCAAGCAAGATGTAGAGGTTACTCAAGAGGCCCGAAAAAAGAAAAAACTTGCATGGGGGTAAGTAAGTGGGCATCTCTTTTTGCAGCTAGCTGATTATTTGACTTAAATGTTTTTCTTCTTGAGCTTGATCCATATTTGTTTAATTTTAAACGTGGCTCTTTCTTTGAATAGTTTATCTATTTTGTGTAGGATTTTTAGTGCAACTGACACATTATTCAAATGTTTATACATTTCCTTTTTCATTGCTGGAGTATTAAAAACTTAGTTACAATTTAGACATTGCTGCTAAATGAAATGTCACTGAAAATTCCTGAAGTGTACTTCAGTGGAAACTGACATATACTTGTATTTCTTTACAGTTTTGAAGCAAAGAAAAGATGGGAAACAAAAAGCAACATGGGATACATGTAATTAATTCTGTCTAGGAAAGCTGAAAATTATAAAGCCGGGGAAAAGGTTTGTTAATATATATGGTGCATAAATTATAAATTTATTTGTTTTATTTTGTAATGTTTCTGCTGCTGAATGAGTCATAGAACAATTGCTTTCCCTTCCATATGTTACTATATTTAGGCATTCTACCTTCAACCTTTTAAACATTTCTGTCTTTTTCATCACACAAAAATTCAAGCTATAAATTGTTTTATCAAAAATTATTAAGATTAAAAATATACCAGCTTTATTCAGTTATTTTTATATTATTTATTTATTCATATTAATATAAATATATTGTCTCAATTAAAATTACAATAAGTTAAAATTCCTGTTTCCTGAAAACATAAAGTAAATTTTCCATTAATTTCTGTAATATATTTCATTTACATTTCTCTTATTATTTATTTACTTAGGACATTTATGTAGCCACCCACCTTAAAACATGTGACTCCGGGCAATGTATTAATTAATTAAATAAACAAAAATTCAGAAGAAAAAAAGTACATGCTACTAAAATAAAATAAAAACCCTTAAATGGCTACCAGAATCTAGATCTCTCCCTACAAAGTAGGGGAGTTTGGCTTATCCTGAACCAAGTGCTTGGACAATAACCAGGTCTTAATTGCCTTCTAAAGTCCTGCAGGGCCAACTGTTTATTAGGTGGAAAATTGCTTGAAAAGTCAGAGGCTGCCACTGAGAAGGCAAGGCTCTTGGTTCTTATTAAGCAAAGTGATATATCCAAGGATAAGGAATATTAATTTAACAATAACTGATTGTTTTTGAGAACTTGGGTTAAAATATTTTATGAAGAAATAGTAATTTCATGGTTTATGGCAAGTCCTTAGTTTTCTGTCCTAATATAGATTCCCCCCCCCTTCGTTTGTAGCCTCAGGATGGTGATTTCCTTCATTCCCTTCCCATGAAACATAATATTTCACAAAGATGAGTTTTCCATAAAGTAATGTGGAATTAACTACAATTAGTTATATTGACAGTTAAATACATAGCAAAAGCTATAAATTACTGACCAAGCAGGTTTACTGCGTAGCATCATAAATCTCTGAAGAATTGCTGAAAAGGGAGCAGGTTGTTGTAAAGAAAATAGAAAAAGCATCTATTTTCCAACTTGAGTTATCTTACAAGTATACATAATGTTCCTACAGTTAGATATTCAAAGACAAATGAATCTACTAAATGACCCATTTGAATATAATACCTTATCAAAATAGTTTTTAAAATAGCAACATATTTTAAACACATACAACCAATTTCATCATGTAGCTAGATTCTTTCCATAAATTAGAGTTTAGGATTTCAACTAAAATGGTTTAATGGCAATATCAAAAAAAGAAATGCCTACATTCTTCAAGAGCCAACAAAATAGAGTTGCCATTGCATCTTTTCCTTGCCATCAGTTTGGAATAGGAACTGGCCACTTAGATTCATTGCTTATGTTTATTTTATGACAAGCTTTCCTATGCTACTGCTACAATTAGTCCTCAATTTACAACCATTTCTTTAGCAACCATTCAAAGTTAGAATACCACTGAAAAAAAGAGCTTATAATCAATCTTCACACTTATGACTGTTGCAGCATCCCCATGGTCATGTGATCAGAATTTGGGCACTTCAGTGAAGTTCTACGATGAATGCCAATGGAAATATGAATATACTTACGGTATCCTAAAGCAGTGCTTAATATCCCTTCCCTTTGAGTAATGACAACTCAGAAACATCAGTATTGCTGAAGAATAAGATGACTGTACATAAATGCTGTTGCTACTTTAAAACTAACTTTTTTTTTGTCCTAATTTGTTTTATTCAGCTGATCATCAGAGTTAAGTGCAGAAAGCATTCCTGTAATTCTGAATTGTTTACAGAATGATGATGAATAATGTTGGAAGTTAAATCAAAATGAGGACAATGCTTTTTGTTCTTCAAACTTTGTATATACAAGTAACAGCTTTGCGTTGATTTGGCATTGCTAGTAGGACAATGAAATGGATGGCAGAATAAACAAACCAACAAACAAACCAACAAAGCATACATGCAGTGGGGCAATTTCAGTTTCCTTGAAACATTAACAGGAATATTTTCATTAGTTCATAGCTGACAATACAATATAGCCTAAGGAAAATGTATGTCTAGAAGAAATAATGATTATTTTTCCTTGCTTTCCCAAATGACTTGTCTTATTTTCTTCTTTGAAAAGAAAGATATGACAGAGAAATTGTAGATAAATCTTATTCAATTTAATGATGGAATTTATTTAGTCAGTTTATACCTCATCCTGCTACTCTAGGAAATATTCAAGATATATTTTTTTATAAAAACTAAAGGTATAAGCTAAAGAGTTGAAAACAAAATTAGTATTAATATTAATTAACAAAAGTCTTGCAAGAAAAATGAATCCATTAATGATGAGGACATTGGGGCTAAATGCAACTCCTGAGAGAGTTGCCATCATCACCTAGGGACAATTAGGGAGATGGTCATCTTCCACATATTAAAAAAACAGTCCTCATCAGTAAACCTGAAAAAGTATCTCTTTCACAGCAATTAGTTTGAGTTTTCAGTTGAGGTGAAATACTTGAGCTGATAGAATCAAAAATGGAAACAGCAATAAAAAAAGATGTTAATGATACAATAGATTCAAAGTAGATTGTTTTCCTACCCGACTACTAACACTTGGTGATATTACAACATCCAGGAAAAAGCTGAAGTTCACCTAGTGGGTCCAAAAAACCTTGAATAAGGAATCAAAAGTTGACATGTCAAGGTCAGGTTACCTAGAGCCATGCTGGAAATGGGTGTGTTAATATTGGGAAAGGCTTAATAATATTTCATAAATATTAATATGTAGCAGTGAAGAAGAGCATGAACAGAATGTTGAGACTTAGAAAGCCAATTTTAATTTGACATCAAACATGGCAGAAATGATGTAAGAGATATACCAAATCTTTTTGTTTTAAACAATTTAGAAGGGCAAATTAAAAAAAGAAGTCTGTGGTTCTTTGGGATTTAGTGTAGAAATCTTTGGGGAGTAAGGTTATTTGCGTACTTAGTATCTTTTAATAATGTTTTTATTTCAATTATATCATCCTTTTGATACAGACAGTCAGTTGATTTCATGTTTACAAAGTAGGTGATATTTGTATTTTTATAGCAAACCAATTGGAACAATTTTAATTATCCTGATGTACACCTATTTGACCAGCTTGCTTTAATTCTGTCTTCTTATTTAGATACATAATAGGCAACCTGGAACACTCCTGATATTTTGAACCAATTCTCATAGCCTTAGACATTGCCATGATGACTAAAGGTTATGGGATATGTAATCCAATAATTGCCATACCGATTGAACTAATAGGTACTCACTGATTAAGACCATTATAACATAATTAATGGACTAGTCAGTCCATTTAGTTTTCATGAAATAAGAGCATTTCAAGAACATTTCTGACAAATTTTATGGAGGGTATCCTTTTAGTAACATTTAAGAGACCCATTAAAGCAATGGAAAAATATAAACCTGCCTGTCCAAGTTTTTATCTTGCACTAAGAACTTTATCTTTTTATAGCAAATAGCACTTAAGGCTTTTAAAGAATATATAGGCATTTTGGTTAAATACATGTTTTATTTTACAGTGGGCATGATGTAGCCACAAACCAAGTTTGATTTACTATATCTACCTATCTAAATGACCTTTATTTTTATCACCCACCCACCCCAGAAATTAACAGTTGTAGGATAATAATCTTTGCAACTAAAAGTGATAAAAAAACAATTATATTTATAGAAAGAAATGAGGAATGTGACATATAACAATGTTTTATATTTTTCACACATGATATTCATATTCTGGGCAGAAGTAGTTTGTCAATGATCATAACTACACAAGTAAATTTTGAAGAACATTTCAATTTTGTTTCAATTGATTTATGGTATGTGTCACAAATAATACAGATGATATATCTGAAATGATCGTTCATGGATAATTTTAGATTCCTTGTATAAGAGAATTATCCATTGTAAGCTTTAAATAATAGTCTAAATCAGTGGTGTCAAACTTTCGTCATCTTATGGTTGTCACATGATGTATTGTGACTTTTTTCTCCTTTCACTAAATCGGGTGGGCATGGCCATAGCGTGACGCATCCAGCCCGCGGGCCGCATTTTTTTCTTTTGTGGTGCCACATTGTGGAATCTTAGCTCCCAAAAGTTGAGGTTGGCCTCACCATTCTTCAACTTTCAAAGGTTCCTCAAGACCTGGTAATGCCATCAGGCCTGAGGACTTAAGGGGACAGGGGAACTTGTGTGGAGGCTTTGTTATTATTATCTCTCTGTTTATTCTCATTTCTTATTTTAGTTCTGCTTTTATAGTTTTTAATGCCCTTTTAATAATTATTTTCTAATGGTTTTAGGTAATTCTTTATTTTACTGTTTTATTGGATTTCTGTACATTGCTCAGAGTAATTTTTCACATAAATTTAATTAATATCAATAAAATTACACACACACACACACACACACACACACACACACATAATTTGATACATACACTATATGTATATATTTGATATGTGTGACGGACAATGGCAGTTTTTAGAGTCCATTGGATGCCTATCTGAATACTTAATATCTAATATTTTAATACCATTAGTTATAAAAATTGGCATGATTTGACTTGATGTTAGTTTCCTTAACAAGTAATGGGAACTTTTTGCTGATAAATCATAAATTACTGGTGTGAATCATAGGCTTCTAGCATTCCAAACATTTTTTTTTTTTTTACTGGTGTGGTTAAACTGGCAAAACAGCATTCAAAGTTTCAGGTTTTCTCTTCTCAATGAAGCTTTCTAACACTTTTCAGTGATGATAGGAAGTAATTTCTGAAGCCTTAATTCAGCTGTAACCAGGATCTCAACAATAAAAGGGGCATTTGTACCCAACACTTTAAACTTGAGTAGTCAAATATATTTCTGCACATCACTAACATTTATTGCAATCCATATCAAAATAAAAATTTCTCCTCATTTGCTTTCTGCTGGTTCTGTCAAACAGTTCATTAAAATTGTAGCCAGAAGTGATAATAATTTCCTGTACATAAGACTAAAACCCATTTATTTTCTTTAATATCTTAAAATAATTATTTTGTCTGCCAGTGACTTGTCTATATCTTTATCATGGGAAGACATCTGTTAAGTTGCTGAACAGACAACATTTTATGATATGGTCCTCCTAAACTGTGCTCTGAATTTGGATGCCAAAATCACGTGGATAGAGTTGTACATATCTTTTCACAATTATTGATTTTGAGCAGGGAAACAATCAAATGGGAAAGATGGCCTGCATGATTAATCCTGATTAGTTGTGTAACACTGTGATGTAGCCATTCCTACCACTAGAAATCCATGTAAGTGGATCTTAGATCTTTGTCTTTTATTACAATCTAAAATTTGGGTTTAAAATGCTGCATCTGATCAGTAGGGAAGTTGTATGCAGAATTTATACAGCAGTAACATTATCATGTTTCAGTCAATGACAACAGTTGGAATGTCAACTGCAATTGAATGTTGAATCTAACATAAATGATGAAATCTGTGTCAGGTATTAAAACTGCTTTTAAACCTCATGCTAATAAGATTTTTAAAACACTGAGGAAAGTAGTGATTTTACTTTCCTTAGGACATCAGGAAATTATACACACACATGCACAAGGGCGACGCTTCCTTAGTTCTGCACAAAACTTAAAATGGCAGTCCTTGCCTATACATTCATATTCTGCCACATATAGTACAAAAGATACAAAAAAGTGAAAAAATGGCATTAAAATAACTAATTCAAAGAATATTTACACCTTCATTTCCTGATTAATGGATCAGAGTTTGCCACAGATCATGAAGTTCTTGCTATAAGAAAAGATGGGTGCACTTGCAAGTAGTCATTGGTGTCCTGTCCAGTACCAAAGGCTCCATTAGAGCTTTCATGAATATAACTACATAAAACCAATAAGCAAAAGTCATACTCATCTATGAGAGACTTCTTCATTTGGAGATAAATCATAAAACTATCCATAAGATTGTCAGCACTGTTTGAGGGATGAACTCACTTCCCTTGCAATTTGTCATTTAGGAACGTAATTCAGAATAAATGCAACTAATATATGATTACATGAAATCTAAATCTGAGTACCTTCATAATGTCATACCTATTTATGGACAAGTTGGTTTTTTTTCTCATTCCTAAACATTGAATAAAAAGAATGTTTCTGTCCTTTCATCTCAGTGGTAGCATATTACCTTCTTCATTTGAATTAGCTAAATTCCAGTATAGTGGGGAAATATATATGTATCTGAGCTCTGCATATTTTCTTCAGCAGAAACACCTGTGCTAAGAACAAATCTATTGGTTGGGAAGGGAGAAAGATTAGATTCTTAGTACTGGTGTTTCACAGGTTGCAGCATCTGTAGGCAACTCAGATATAGAACACTTTTCATCATAATTAATGCCTGTTTGTTAGGCAATCTCATATAATACGAAAAGACAATTGCTTTCATACTCTTGTGGAGTTTGTAGAGCATCTAATTAAACATTATGCCAAGCTGGATACAGAATGAAATGATCCCTTAGCTTGATCTAAAAAAAAATCTGACTTCCTATCTACAGTGTTTTTGGTTATATTTGTAGAAAAAGTTGTTCAGCTGCTAGTTAGGTTGCGTATTCTTTTGCTCAATAAATTTAACAATATATGTCTTTAAAAAATCTTACTATATAGATATTTGGTCCACATGCAGTTGCAATATATTAGGTTTGGTTCATATTGGAGCCTTTCATTATTCACCTCCATGCGAAGTACATTCACTTAAAACATAACAAAATAATAAGTTATAAATGTTTAAATATTTCTGCAATTGTTCTTTGTTTCATTGAAGATGTATGTATTTCAAAAAACTGTCCATCCATCCATCCATCAATTGTTTGGAGAAAGCATTTTCAAGATACTGATCATACATTTTTAAAAATTACATCTTTTTAGATTACAAAAAGCATATTTTATTTGGTCTATTGATCTCTGATTGAATAGTTATGTTATACAAGATGCATTTTATAGGCAATTTGTAACAGTAAGATCAAAGGGAATTTTGAAAGAAGCAGCAGAAAGCAGGAGAATTGTATGAGCAGTTCAGTAACATACACAGTACAGCCCCAAAAATAAATTTGTCTTAAAAATAACAAGGATTAAAAAATGTTTTACATCCAGAAATCTCAAGATTTTGCTAGCAAAAAGTAGATTTAGTAAAATCCACCTACAAAGACGGTAAATATTAATTATGCACTGTTGTGAGGATTACACAGTGGAATATACTAAGGGTTATAAATATGCTTGAAGGAATCTGTGTCTGTCCATCTATGTATTTAGATACATGCACAAATATACACATATTCATACACACACACACACACATCTCCAACTCTTGTTGTATCAGTATTGTATAGGTAACACCACTACAAACTGATTTCTAAATTTCATATTACCACATATTAGTATCCTAAAGAACCTATCTGATGAAGATTTAAGAAGCTTAGCAATGTTCACACGTCCATGAAAAATGATAGTTTAATATCTCTTTAAATAAACTTTATAAGCAAATCAATTAACAGTTATTATCTGCCACAAGGGAAAACAGGTAGACAATTCTGAAGTGTCTTCTAAATCTTCAATTGCTCAGTATTAAAAGTGCCTACAGTAAAATACAGGTACTTTCACAGAATGTTCCTATTTATTTTACCACATGGGCATGTTTTAGTTAAGTCCAGGGGAAATTATTTCCACCCCTTAGAGCATTATCTTTGACAAGCCAAAACGAAGTCTGCTGTGCACATTAGGTGGATAATGTTTTCATGCCTTAGGTCACAGATGTTAAACTCAATCGTGTCACATGATGTATCATGAAGTTTTTTGCCTTTGCAGAGCCGGGGTGGGCGTGGCCTGCATGTGACACATCCAGCCTGCAGGCCGCCAGTTTGACAAAGTTTTTCAAAGAACAAGGCCCCACTATGCAAAAGTGGATGGGTACTGGAACTACAGAATATATTTTATATACAAATAAAATATGAAAGTATCGGGAAATGAACTACTGGAAAATTATTTTAAATAATGAAATGTCTTATTGCTTGAGCAAATGTGTTTGTCTAAATGATAAAAGTACCAGGGCTATAACAGGGCATGAAGAGATGTTTCATTTCAACCTTGTTTCAAGAGAAGAATGTTTTCAAAGGGAGATAACTTGTTGATCCACTTCACTCTGCTCAGGCTTCTTCCAGCACTTTCAAGAAATAGAATAGAATATTCTTTAGAATAGATCATAAAATGCAATAATAAATCATAAGATATAAACAACTAAGTGATAAGTCATAAGATACCAATAGGAGAAGGTAATAGAAAGATAAGGATAACAGCAATACAGCCCTACTACATTGGGCTACCTCCTTAGGCATAAGAGTGCTGTGGGAATTAGGTGTTTAGCAGAGTGATGGCATGAGAGAAAAAACTCTGTGTGTCTAATTATTTTGGCATGCAAGTCCATGTAACAGCATCCTGAGGGGAAGGAATTGAAACAGTTTATGTCCAGGATGTGAAGGGTTTCTATATATTTTCTCAGCCCTCTTTTCTGGCTCTTGCAGTATACAGGTCCCCAATGGAAGATAGGCTGTTTGCAATTGTTTTTTTTTTCTGCAGTCCTAATTGATGAAGTAAAAGTGACTTCAGAAACTATGCAAAAGAGTTTCAAGGAGACTTGCCTAAAACTCCACCTTTTCAGGATGAATCATATTATTCTGCACCATTGGACCATTAACATTCCATGTCCAAAAATTGCCAATGTACGGTTATCTATTTTGTTTTCTGGCCTCAGATTGAAAATAAACATAAATTGATTGTGTCTATTATTTATTGTCATAAAATTACTTTCAAAAAAGTATGCAATACTTGTTAGCTATTCTTGATTATTTTGCTGCAAATGTTTTGGAATGTGACCTTTGACCTGCAAAACCTGATATTACCTTCAAACTGGCAGAAGTTGTGCATTCCTGCTAACTCCTAACTCCCACCTTGATGAAAATAACAGTGGTACAGTTTCGATGACTTGATTCGGTTGATGCCTTCAATAAAATCTTTGTGATGCTACAAAAAGATGATGCTACTCCATTGAGGTTTATTATTGCCAATGGGTTAAGTTCATAGTTGAAGATCCAAAGGAAAACACAAATGCAGTATAATTTTTTTTAATGGATGAAAATGAACACATTAGGGAGAATCCTGCAAATGTTAAAAAAGAACCAACTCTCTACATCTAATTTAACTAATCTGCACCTAATTTAGCTAACCAAGCCTAAATTTACTTCCAACCAAGAATTTTCTAACAACTGAATAGAATTCAGCAATTTTAGTAGGCATTTTGGAAGAATGATCTGTTGGTGGAAAGCACACAATTTTTATTTCAGGCCAACAAGTACTTTAGGAAGGAAGTAAAATGTTAATTTAGAGGTTATCTACATTGTTCTGTTGCCCCATTAACTGCTTCTGGAGGAAGAAATATTATCTATTAATTTACCAAAGCAGCTTTGCAGCATGTTTTTCTGTTCGTCTTACAAATTATACTTTTCCTTGTTCTGTTGCTTTGATTATCCCTGTCCATTTGGGTTAGAAGCTTCAGTTGGTTGCAAACTAACCTCATTAGTTCATTGGCTGCTTTGCAAAGAAGACATGCTTGTTCAGCTGAGTCACTGTGTATTAGCTCTATTACCTTTAAGACTTCCACTTTGTACTGCTATTGCAGTAAGTATAATTCACGGAACTCAAATATTACTGATTTTAAACTCAGTAAAACTTCATTTTTTAATTTTTTTTACTTACTTTTTTTCCCCTTTTTTATAACTTATTTTTCCACCAATTTTT